CTCCTCCCCCTCCCCTCAGGCTATAAAGACCTACAGAATGCAGCGTCGCGAGGGAAGAAGGTCGATAAATCAGTCGACTTATCCAAAAACACCGAGAAGACTAACATACTACTGCATTTCTGGCCAGAAGGCGGTCGGAATTAGTGGATGTTTACTTGACCAAATGGACAATTTGAAATATCTGGGAACGAAAACGTTACCGGATAGGTAGACATTGTCTCCGGGATCGATGCTCGTCAAGGGGTTTTCGCAATCCCTAGAGGGTGTTCATGGGCTCTATACGATATTTCTAACGCCATCGGGCATCTCTCCAGTGATTGCGAATACTTAGTTGTGTGCGCGAAAGAGCAGCAGAAACTCAGTTTGTTTGAACATCCTTGTCCGGGAAGCGTCTTTTGAGTAAATTACGTCCCTTCGTCTCGAATAAGACAAATCGATTTCGCTGCAACAGTACCGAAAAAAGCAGGCAATCAGAGGAGGACGACTGAGGCAGATGGGCTACACTGTCGTTCACTGCATGAGTTCAGCGTTGCTAGCTTTGATCTGGCGCTGTTGCCCGCCTAGAGGTGCACAGAGATCAGTTCAACACAATCTCTCAAAAAACGGAAGTGATTTTTGGACATTCGGTCTTCGGTTTCCGTTGCTCTAAACGAACTTGGTTCGAGATCCCGTGTTGAAGGTCGTCAATTATCGGGTGTTACGATCTAATATGTCACTGGGACCGGTTAGATCAGACATGTTCTTATCTGTATCAAGTAAGAAGTGCATTTCGTCTGGACTTGATGCCCCAAACAAAATTCTTCGGGTCCTTGTGATCCGGTGATCGATTGTGCCTGGCTGACGTTGACAAATAATTTAGAAATGGCTCTCTCAGTCTTTTCTTCTCGGAACTGCTCGTACTTTTTTTGATCCTCTCCTCTTTTTGCATTGTGGGTTTCTGATACCTCCATTAGTCGCCCTGTCCGTCTAGAAACTTTTTTTCTGTTTGAAGTCCTAGAATGCGTATGCTTGCTTGTCTGATCTAGATCGCTGGATTTTCTGGTTTACAGAACCACCAGTTAGCTCAGCGCTGAGGACGTAGTTCTCTGGTATGATTTTTGCCTGATCTGCTTTCTCTCTCTCTCTCTCTCTCAAGTATTCTTCCCCCTTACAGTCTTTGAAAGACACCTGTTTGGCAACCTCCGTGACACTGATCATCGAAACCGAGCCCTCATCTACGCCTACGAAGGAAGGAAAGGAGGAGGTGACAAGCACTTCAATGATTATGATGAATAGTACCCTTACGGAGGAAGTTTCGAGCCTGCGGCCCTCTCTCGATGAGGTCCCCGCGATGACTGCTCATCCGTCTCCTCCCACGCAGGAGGAGGAACCCGACCAGGAGACCGCTCTCAGCCGGGTTCGTGCCAGTCTTCAGACTTTGGCCAATGATCTTCCCCGACTGCCTCGTGAAGTTCACAAGGACATTCTGTTTGAAGCCCTGGCTGCCTTGAAATCTATAATGTAACCGAAAATCCCCCATCCCTCCCCTCCCTGGACTGTTATTTTTATACACCAGGTGTTCTGCATTTATAATCGATTATCCCAACAGATGAGAGTGACAGAGCGTACTTTTGCGATGCTCTTTTTTGCAGTTTTAAAAGGGTATACACCTATATGAATTGTTTAAATGGTCTGTTTTTTGTTAATTGAAACCTTGATGTCCATTTTTGGTCTTCTTTTTTCCGAATCCGATTGAAGCTTGGTTAAGGGGGTTTCATTCGCTCGTACGTGTGTGTCGTAGCTCTTGTTGGATCAGGAGTCCCCACCGGAACCCAAACTG